CTCAAACATTGCAACAAGAAAACAGCTTCTTGGTCTAGGTATAGAATTCATATAAGCATAAATAAGTGTTCTAGAATTTCCATTATTCTCAACGTTAGCCTCAATTTGTTATGCTCCACAAAGTCAAATGCCTTTGCATTGTCAATATAAAACATGAATAGACATTTTTCTAATATTCTCTACTTTTAGTCAGGACCCATCTGTCATCAACAATAATACCCCTTGCATCAAGCCATCTTCTAAATCCAGCTTGAACTTCTGGAAGTTCCCTGTAAACATACTGTTCTCTACATTTTTGGGTGCTCTTCAGGAATATTTTGATTGCATGTGACTTTAGTGATATTATTCTAGAATTTTCACATTGTGTTGGGTTACCTTACTTAGGAATGGAAACAAATATAGATCTCTCCCAGTTAGTTATGGTGGAAAAATTGCAGATGAGCTCCGAGTTTAACAAAGACTAGGAAGCAAGGCTTCAAAAACCCTAAGAACAATAGAGGAACGCAGCCAGCCACAGTAGTATGGATAGAGTCCATATGGAAAGTCACTAAAAAAAATAAAGAGAGAGCTACAAACAATTATTAAAAATTGGGACATGGAATATAAGAATGAAATATATGAATGTAGGAAAATTGGAAGTTGTCACAAATTAAATAGAATACATGAAGATCATCATTGAGATGGACTGGCATGGGCCACTGTTGGGGAATGTTGGGGAGGAAAGGAGGACCTCTGGCCAGGACAGATCGCCTAAGCTCCGGCTAAGTGCAAGCCTCCCAACGGCCTTTAATACGGGGTAGACAAAGCTCTCCTGTGTTTGGCCATACTGACTTGAGAAAGCTCACCACCTGGGAAGATGGCTACCGCATCTGTTGAGCTGGGAGTGGTCAGCACAAGGCTGAGGTTCTCCTATCCAATCCACATGTCCCAAGTCTGTAAGCCCACCCTATCCTGTCTTCCTGTTTACTTGCTTGTATATAAGTGTGCTGCAGCCACCAATAAAGTTGAGGTGAATCAACTCTCTGACTGGCTCCCAGAGTGGTGTGTCTCTGTCGTGCTTACGCCCATCAGGGTATTGCTGTTCGTTGCCAGTGAACCAACAGCGACAAGCCACTATGAATCAGACAATCTTATGACTGACTATGCTGGGAATGAAAAACTGAGTAAAAATGGTGGACTATTCATAGTTAAAAAGACAGTTCCAAGAACAATCCTAAAGTACAATGTTGTGAGTAATAGGATACTACTAATATACATATAAGAAGTACTTGTTAATGCTACTATTATTCAAGTATATAAATCAACAATGAAAGCCAAGGAGGAAGAAGCTAAGGATTTCAACCAAAATATGCAATTTAAAATTGACCAAACATGCAAGATGTATTAGAAATTACTGGTGACTGGAATGATACTAAATCTGACCTTGTCAATTTCTTCCTTTTCACGCTCTCACTCATTCACTTAATTATTGTAACATTCAGTCCCTTACATTGGATATGCTCTGAGAACCTCTTCACATTCAAACCTTAGTGTTCTCCTCATCTAGAAGCTAAGTTGTCAATATAATAAAGACAATATGAAGACCACTTGAGACCCTTACAGAGGAGAAAGAGAATCTGTGAAAAGCAAATTTGGGATTTTTATTCTAGATGACACAGGTAGATGTGGTAAACAGTAGAAAAAAGAATTTTCCTTGCTCTGAATGGTAAAAAAAAAACACAAAAGAACTATGGACTCTTAAAATTTATCTTTTGTGAACATTTTCATTAGTTTTTAATTCTCTCTTTTGTTCTATGTATATCCCCATCATTCCCTTTCTCTTACGTAGTTTTAAAAAATAATGTGATTTACAAAAACTGCATGGCCAGTATGTAGAGGTCTGGTGGCATTTAAGGAGTTCTGCTACTAACCTAAATGCCACACCTCTCTGGCACACAAATAAATCCACCATCTGTTGCACAGGAACCATTCAATTGATAGCCTTGAAACCCAACAGAGGATCAGCTGTGAGTTGGTTCCAACTGATAACAATAAGAAAGAGAAATGCATATTAACTATAAGAAACTATTGCCATCGAGTTGAGCATGATGCATAGCGAACCTACAAACAAAAGCCAAGAAGCATTTCTAGTAGTATCTCCAGTATTATTAACTGCCTCTGAAAAGCCACCGGACGGTCAACTATGGGTTGGTTCCAAGTCAAAAGAACAGAACAACAAGAACAAGAGATGATGGTAGATTAGTATAGAAGCTATTGTTGTTGTTGATGATTACTGTCGAGTCGAGCCGAGCATGACTCATAGTAACTCTATGAACAAAAGACCTACTGCCTTTCTATAACTATCATCATTTCTCCAAGTTCATAGTTTCTACAGGCATGTGGTTTAGGAAGTGGATGCCACTCCTGCTTCCAAAACCATCTTAAACTGGGAGCTCTACCAAACATTGTCCACCTTGGGCAATTGTTATGACATTTGACACCCAAATGGCACAAAGTTCAGCATCACAGCAAACCCTAATTACCTCAGTAAAGCAAATTAACATAAGAGTGATGTACAACTTAGAAAAATGTTCCTCCAAAATATAACAACCCTAGTCTCATGAACAATCTTTATTTTGCAGATGACACAACCCTGCTTGCTGAAACTGAAGAGGACCTGAAGCACTTGCTGCAGAAGGTCAAAGACTGCAGCATTCAATGTGGATTGAAGCTCAACATCAAGAAAACAAAGATTCTCACCACTGGTTCGATTGACAGCATCATGAGAGATGGTGAAGAGATTGAGATTGTTGACAGCTTCAGTTTGCTTGGCTCTACAATCAACACTCTTGGTACTAGCAGCCAGGAAATTAAAAGACTAATTTCATTGGGAAAGTCTACTGTCAGAGACCTCTCCAAGGTACTGAGGAACAACGATGTTGGTCTGGAGACTAAGGTTCACCCGATATAGGTCATGGTCTTTGCCATTACTTACTATCCATCAGAGAACATATGGACAATGACTAGGGTTGACAGAAGAAGAGTTGATGCTTTTGAGCTTTCATGCTGGAGAAGAGGACTGAATATACCAGGGACTGCTAGGAGAACAAACAAGTTTGTCCTGGAGAGAGTAGAGCCAGATTGTTCCTTGGAGTCAAGGATTCTGAAGCTTAGTCTGACATACTTTGGACATGCTGCAAGGAGGGACCAGTCCTTGGAGAGGGACGTTATGCTTGGGAAGGTGGAAGGACAGCTCAGGATAGGAAGACCCTCTATGAGATGGATTGATTCAGTGTCTTGGGTAATGGGGGTAGGTGTGTCGGAGACAGTGAGATTGGCACAGGATAGAGCAGGGCTTAGGGCTGTTGTACATCAGGTTGTTTTGAATCGCAAGCAACTCGCCAGCATATAACAACAACAACAACAATAAGATTGATCTCACAGATTGGATTGTGTGTCCCCAAATGCATGTATGCAATGAAATAATGTAGGAACTGTGTAATAATACCTTGTGATCTGATAAATGAAATAATTGTAAAAGGATTATGTATAGAACACAGTATCTTTTACTCACATCACAGCCCTAACCCAATGTAAGGGAATTTTCCCTAGAGTGTGGTCTATGTTTTATTTCATTGGAGGTAAAAGAGAAAGAAAGGAAGCCTAGAGTGAGGAATGCAGTACTACCTGACAAGAATTACCAAGAGTGGAATGCAGTCTTTTGGGCCTGAGCTCCTCCTTGAGGGAACTGTTGACTTCTGGAAAGACCAGGACATGTGGAGTTTACCAAGGAATGATAGGCCTGCAGATGATAAAAGAAATAAGAACTCTTCTCCAAAACTGAGAGAGTGAGCAGGCCTTCCCATAAAGCCTCCACTTTTAATTTGCACTTTAAAATTTCCCTTTGTTAAAGCTGTCTGCTTATATCACTGTTAGGCAGGACTAGAAAATTAATAGTGTCTTGTAGTTGATATGCCTCGTTTTTAGAGTGAGCAAAGCCTCCAGGAGGGCCTTATATTTAAAAGTTGGGCCTGAGAAACTGTATTTTAATCCCCTGTTTCTATATTTTTGAGGAACATTCTTCTAAGTCATACAACACTGGTCAGTTTGCTGTGATGAGGTAATCTGGGTTTGCTGTGACACTAGATCTTGTGCCATTTGGGTCTCAAATGCCACAATGAAACAACTGTGCCCTAGCGTGCCAAACACAATAGCTACCAATCATGGGCAGTGTTTGGTGGGGCTCTCAGATTGATTCAAGTTCAGAAGCTGCAGTGGCATCCACTTCCTAAACCACATGCCTCTGGAAACTATGGAACATAGAGAAATGATGTTAGTTGTAGAACAGGGTTTGAGGTCTTTTGTTCATGGGGTCACTGTGAGTCGTATTCAACTTGACAACATTTAGTTACTGCTAAGTGAGACCATTGTTACTGTTATGTACCATCGAGTTTGCGACTCATAGCAGCCCTATGTACAATAACCCTAAACTCTGCTTTATCTCTTTCCAATCTTATTGTCTCTGGCACACCTATCCCCATTACTCCAATGACAAAATCAATCCATCTCATCAAGGGTCTTCCTCTCCTGCGGTGTCCCTCCACCCTCCCAAACATGATGTCCCTCTCCAAGGACTGATCCCACTTTGCAACATGTCCAAAGTATGTCAGACAGAGCTTCAGAATCCTTGCCTCCAAGGAGCAGCCTGATTTCACCCTCTCCAGGCCAAACCTGTTCATTCTCTTAGCAATCCATGGTATATTCAGTACTCTTCTCCAGCACCACAGCTCAAAGGCATCAATTTTGCAATCACTTGTTAGGCATCAGAGAGTTGGACAATGACTAGGGAGGACAGAAGGAGAATTGACGCCTTTGAGCTGTGGTGCTGGAGAAGAGTATTGAATGTACCATGGACTGCCAAGGAAACAAATAGATTCATCTAGGAGAGGGTTAAATCAGGCTACTCCTTGGAGGCAAGGATTCTGGGGCTTCGTCTGACATACTTCGGATATGTTGTAAGGAGAGACAGGTCCTTGGAGAGGGACATCATGCTTGGGAGGGTGGAGGGACAGCGCAGGAGGGGAAGGCCTTCTATGAGGTGGATTGATTCAGTGACTGGGGTAATCGGGATGGGTGTGTCAGAGGCAATGTGATTGGCACAGGATAGAGCTGGGTTTAGGGCTGTTGAACATAGAGTCGCTATGAGTCACAAACGAGTCGATGGCACATAACAACAACAACAAAAATCTGTATATGCTTATTTTACTGAAGTCTATAAAATAAAATTTTTTACATTAAATTTTAATATGTACCAAAATTCATTATTTTAGCAATTTATTATCTTCTACATAATGTAAATAATTTTCTATTATCTACTTTATGTTGTTATTGTTGTTACCATCAAGTTGGATCTGACCATCACAGGAGGAGAATGCCCCTCCTTCGCCAGCGGAGCATCTGGTTAATTCAAGCAATGCTTTTGGAATTGCAACGCAGCTTCTTGCCAAAACGCCACCAGAGCGCCCTTATTCTTTAGAATTATAATGCATAACAGGTTAAAAACGACTTAACCTTCTTTTGACTGCTAACTCATAATCTTCACTAAAGATATATCCTCTGTACAATGTCAAATAATGGTTTAGACAAGTATTGATCCAGGATTGCACAGGTTATAATGATAATGAAGAAAAAGGACAGGTCAAATAATTTTAAATCAATTAATAAAAAAAATAAAAATCTGTTTTCACAGATTAATTTCTACAATGCTATCACACACACACACACACACACACACACACACACACACACTTGCATAACAACATTATACTTTAAAACCATTAATTATACTGTACCGCTTCAGAGCAAGAGTAGCCTCTCCTCCATGACTTGAATCATTACCAGCATCATGAACTGCCTCATAGTGTTTGAAAAGTTCATCAGCAGAGCCCAGAGATTTCATACACTGGGGGCATATAAAACCCTATGGAAAGAAGTAGAGAAATACATCACAATGGTATTTTATACTGAAAAATAGTAAGTTGCATATTATGAAACAAAGTCAAAATGCCATTTCACACCAGTAGTGCACTGAGCAAATCTGAATTATGATGTTAAATTAAATTCTGATATCGTACACAGTAACAACAAAGAAAACAATCATTTTTGGGTTGAATAGAGTACAAAATTCTAATCTGAGAACTGAGTTGGATAGTTTTGCTTCCTGTCCTCCCTTTTCTCTAACTACTCCTATCAGTGTAGTAATGTCTTCTCCAATCCACTACCAACAAAATCAAGAAGATTAAACATTTCAAACAATGATGAAGCAAAGATGTGAAACTTCATCTCACGTACTACTTCAAGAATGCTTTCACGAGGGACAATTTTTGGAAAAGGACATCATGCTGGAAAGGTGGAAGGTCAGACTGACACAGCGCATACAGAGATCATGAAGATGGCACAGGACAGGGCAAGGTTGCAACCTGTTGTTCATAAGGTCGTAATGACCTAAACTATGATGCTGAAGGTCAAAGGACCTGCAAGCAAGCTTGAGAAGCTATCCTGACTGAGAAATCCTGTTGCTAACCTAAAGTGTTACCTATTAGCTTCTTAAGTAAACTCCATAACCATGACTATGGTTTTATGAAATCTGCGTGGTTACTGAAACAGATTTTGGAGCCAGCAGCAGTATGACTGGTGTTGAAATTAGAAGGAGGTGCAGGAGGGTAGAGACTCTGTTTAACCTAATGGAATTTTTTTTCATATTGTGGATGCTGCTGATGGGGACTGCTACTCTTTATGAGGTTAACAGAGGTTGAATACAGCCACCCTCAAGCCATCCCACTCTTTTCAAGGGGGGGAGGAGAGGGTAATCTCCTCCTGTGTGATTTTCAACCCAGAAAGCTAGTGGAGGGTCAGCTATAAGCTGTTCCAACGCAACAATAAGCTTGAGCTCTGGTAGTCTAATGCTAAGAAACAGCACTGCAATACCAAAAGCACACGGTTTGAATCCAACAGCTACTCCACTGGAAAGAGATAGACAATCTTCTCCCATATGATTAACTGACTCTAAAAACAAGCTGGAGGGTCAGCTGTAAACTGGATCTGACTCCACGGCACGTAACAACCACTATATTTATTGGTATAGGCAGTGAGCCCTGTATACAGGGTATAATATGCTGGGCAACTCTCAGAGAGGTCAGCAGTTCAAATTCACCAACTAAAGTCAAAAGATGGATTGTCTCTTCCTGTAAAGATTTAAACTCTTGAAATGCAATGGAGGGTTATCATTAGCTGCAATTAACTGGAAGGCAGTGGGTTTAGTTAGCTCATTAGCACTTTAAAGACTTCCTTAAGAGCAGATTTTCCCACTGCAATATGTCCTTTGATTTCATTACTGCTGCTACCATGGGTGTTGACTGCAGAGCCAAATAGAAGGAAACTTTTGACAACTTCAATCTCCTCTCCATCATGATGTTGCCTATAGGTCTCGGTACATGAATTTTTGTTTTCTTGATGTTGAAGTGTAATTCATGCTGAAAGCTGTAATCTTTGATCTTGTCCAGGTAGTGTTTCAAGTCTTCACTTTCTGCAAGCAAAACTGTGTCACCTTCATCACAGGTTGTTGATGAGACTTTCTCCCATCTCCATGCCATACTTTTTTTCACACAATCCAACTTTTTAAATTATTTGCTCAGCATACAGATTGAACAGGTATAGAGAAAGGACACAATCCTGATGCATTCCTTCCTTAATATCTTTTCACAACTAGACTGATGGTGGGTCATTAATGTTTGATGCATCAAACTTATTCTTGAGATAGTCACCACAGAAACAATAGATCTTAAACTTGTCTTATCCTGTACCATTCTCACAATGTGCTATGCATTGGGTCATTCTTACAGTCTCTGTGTCAATTCATCTTGTTGGAGATCTTCCTCTCTTTCTCTGACCCTCCAACAGCCCCTGCATCATGTCTTTTCCCCAAGGACTAGCCTCTCCTGACAACATACCCAAAGCATGTGACACAAGTTTCACCATCCTTGTCACTAAGGAATACCTTGGTTGTACTTCTTCCAAGACAGATTTGGTTGTTCTTTTTTAATTTAATTTTATTTTCTTTTATACTGGTTTACATACAAAGTTCCTATACATTGTTTTTCACACCAGACCTGTCCCCTTTCCTTTACCAATCCCTCCCTCCACTCCTCAAATTGTGCAACCCTATGTTTAAGGCCCCTGCCCTACCTTGGATCCTTGTACACACTCTACAATAATGTTCCTATACAGTATTTGTCTTTATGACACTGAGTTAGTTCACTCAGCATAATGATCTCCAGTCTCTCCCATGTTAGGTAGTAATTTACAAATCATTTCTCCTGTGTGCTGCATAGTATTCCATTGTTTGAATGTACCATACTGTCTCAATTCATTCCATTGTGGTTGGGCATTTGGACTGTTTCCATATTCTTGCTATGGTTAATAATGCTGCTATTAACACTAGTGCACAGGTCTCTGTACCTCCATTCTCATTTTCTCAGGATATATTCCAAGCAGTGGGGTATCTGGGTTATATGGAATCTCTATGTTCAGCGCTTTGAGGAAATGCCAAACTGCCTTCCAGACTGGTATCGTTTTATAGTCCCACCAACAAAGTATAAGAGTTCCTATCTCACCACATCCTCTACAACATTTATCACTTGATGCTCTGCTAAACTTTGCCACTGCTACTCAGGTAAAATGGTATCTCACTGCAGTTTTGATTTGCATCTCTCTTTCGACAGTGATTTGGAGCATTTCTTCACGTGTCTGTTGGCCTTCCAAATGTCCTCCTCTGTGAAAAGTCTTTCCATATCTTTGCCAATTTTATAATTGGATTATCAGTCTTTTTCTTCTAGAGGCCCTGCAGGATTCTATAAACTTTTGTTATGAGACTCTTGTCTGAGATGGTATTGCCAAATGTTTGTTCCCAGTCAGTTGTTGTTGTTGTTGTTAGATGCCATCGAGTCATTTGCGACACATAGCGACCCTATGTACAAGAGCCCTACACGCCGTTCTATCCTGTGCCAACCTCGCTGTCTCAAACACATTCATTCCCACCACTCCACTCACAGAATCGATCCATCTCATCAAGGGTCTTCCTCTCCTGCGCTGTCCCTCCACTCTCCCAAACATGATGTCCCTCTCCAAGGACTAGCCCTCCTTGCAACATGCCTTAAAGTATGTCAGATGAAGCTTCAGAATCCTTGACTCCAAGGAGCACTCCAGTATATCCAACACTCTTCTCCAGCACCACAACTCAAAGGCATCAATTCTCTTTTTTTTTTTATTTAATTTTTTTAAATTTATTTATTTTATGTGTGTACCGTCAAATTGGATCTGACTGGTACAGGAGACGATTGTTCCTCCTTCTTCAGCAGAGCATCTGGTGGACTTGAACTGTGCACCTCTGGGATTGCAGTGCAGTTTCCTGCCACTAGGCCACCAGAGCTCGCCATCAATTCTCTTTCTATCATCCCAGTCAGCAGATTTTCTTTTTACCCTGTTGGAAAACGTTTTTGATGAGCACAGAGATTTAATCTTTAGAAGGTCCCATTCATCAATTTTATCCTCTTCAGATGTGTATTTCTGGCTGTATTTGGCATTTCCTTTACACTGTAGACTAGACCTTCTAAGCTTGGTCCCAGTTTGTCTCTTATGAGCTTTAAGGTTTTGGGCTTTATCTCAAAGTCTCTGATCCACCTTGAGTTGATTTTTTTTATATGGTGTGAGATATGGATACTGTTTAAGTTTTCTGTAGGTGGAAGTCCAGTTTTGCCAGCACCATTTGTTCAGGAGGTTATCATTTCCCCATTTGATAGGTTTATTTCCTTGTCAAATATCAGTTTTATAGATAGATGGGTCCATAGATGGGTCTATTTCTGGTTCTCAATTCTGTTCCATTGGTCTATGTGCCTGTCATTGTACCAATACCATGATGTTTTAATTCAAAGGAATCAACTCTTCTTCTGTCATCTTTATTCACCATCCAACCTTCAAATAAGTAGAAAGTAATTTAAAAGATCATGGCTTGAATCAGGTGCACTTTAGTTTTTAAACTGACATCCTTGCTTTTTTTAGCACGCTGGATAGCACATTCTTAGAAATGCAGTTAGGTGTTGATTTATTGACTGCTGCTACCATGGATATTGATTGGGGACCCAAGCAAAATGAAATCATTGACAACTTCAGTCTTTCCTCCATGTATCATGACATTGTTTATTTATTAGTGAGGATTTTTTATTTCTTGATGTTAATGATGTTTCTTAATGTTAATATAGATTATAATCCATATTGAAAGCTGTAATCTTTGATCCTCTACTACAGTAAGTGTTTTAAGTTCTCCTCACTTTCAGCAATCAAGATTGTGTCATCTGCTTAACACTAGTTATTGATGAGTCTTTCTCTAATCCTAATGCCACATTCTTCTTCATGCAGTCCCCCTACTTAAATTATCTCTTCATCATACAGACTGAACAGGAATGGAGAAAGGATATAATCCTGACGCATTTTCCTCATTTTAAACCATGGCCGTGTTTCCGTTCTCTGTTAAGACAACAGCTTTTTGGTCTATGTGTAAGTTTCATATGTTGTTGTTGATGGTCTTTGAGTCAAGCATGACTAATAATGACCCTATGAACAAAATGCCTAAAGCCCCTTTACAACTAGAGACATTTATTAAAGTTCAGAGAGTTTCTGAAGGCATGTTGTTTAGGAAGTAAATGAGCACAATTAACTGTTTCAAGACTGCCATTCTTCTCGATGTTAGCCATAACATATTATTATCTATACAGTCAAATGCCTTTGCATAGTCAATAAAACACAAGTAAGCACCTTTCTGGCGTTCTCTGCAGTCAGCCAAGACCCATACAACATGAACAATGACATCCCTTGTGCTAGAGTCTCTTCTGAAAACAGCCTGAATTTCTGGAACTCTGTCAATGT